TATATCTATTATTTGATAGTGGAGATTTTTTTGATGATCCATAATTTTTTCTCTCTACATTAAAAGGTTTTCCATGTAAATTTTGGTATGTTTTATTTTTCTTGTATTGTTGATTGTGAATTGTTGTTTATTACTATAGGTTTATTGTGATATATTACTTTTGTGTTATTGTGTTATCACTTCAGACCCAATAAGGTTTACAAGCTTCCAAATTTACATTTTTGAAAAATTTAAAGACCTTTCAAAATGAATATTCAAAAAGTTTAAAAACATTTCGATGCCTTCAAACTTCCTGGATATGCCTTTCTTTATGCACTATAAACCAAGAGTAAGTGGGGTTATATGGTAATTTGCTAAAGATTAAGTAAGTAATTTCATTTGGGATATTTTTATAATAAAAAAATTAAATATAAAAAAATGGGATGCAAATAAAACTCCCTATAATTAATTACTTGTTAAATAGTGATAAAGGAAAATTAATGATCTCAACTCATAAAAGAGGAATGTGACATTATGAAAAAAGAATACGTATAAGGGATAATTGCTATTTGGCAAATGGGCTTCGGTGATTTTCCTTCAAATTTTTTATTTATAGTTCATAAACATTGCTTCACAAAAAAAAAATTTCATAAACTTTTTAATGATGGCTTAATTTATTACGTGGTCATGTGGATAGAAAGATTAAATTCAATGTGAATAATTTAGGAAAGAATGAAAACATACACTAGAAAGATGAATAAAGAGATGAACTTGAGGTTTAGCCCAAATGGTTTACCCACCTTTCTTATTTGTCGTATTTCAACTTCAATCCCAACACTTGCAAATTTCCTTCTCCCAATTTTCTTAGGTTTTGGCTTCTTATGTATATAAAAAAAAATGAATAAAGAGATGGAGACAAAAATACTACAAGAAATTTGATAATTAGTAACAAAATTTTCATGTAATGTTGCAAAGTATTGTAAATTGTCATGTTACAAAAAGTAGTCACAATAGTTTTAATTCTTGTTTCTATTGTTTAAAAGTATTGTGCAAGATCTCTTGCAACATAAAACTTTTTATGTTGCAAAAAGGTTTTTATATTAAAACATTAATTGTTATAGTATTACAAAACTATTTGCAAAACTTGTTGAACATGTTCTTGTTGCAAAGTATAGTTTATCATAGTTTATTGTAACATAATACTTTTTATGATGAAAAAAACACACTAATAGACAAAGTTGTTTTAGCAAAACTTAATGTAGTTGCAAAATAAGAATTTATCATTGCAAAAACCTTTTCATAATGAGAAAAAATCGTTACGAAGTCTTTGTTCCTAGCTCCATTGTTAAAAGTTTGCACAACAATTTTTATTATATGAAAAATCATTTTTAAAAATGTTTATTGCAACGACTTCTTTTCGTTGCAAAAAGGTGTGATGTTTAAGAAACAACTTGATGTGGTTATCGAAACTTCTTTTTTAACATCCACATATTTAGTTATCAAAACTTTTTTGTAACATTATTTTGGTTGTTTAAAAAATTTTTACAATGCAATATTTTTCTTGTTGCAAATTGTCTTTAGCAATAATCACTTTATCATTGCAATAGTTAGCTTAATAACAACAATAATCATTACTAAAATTTTTACGAAACAACAATTTTTTTATTTCTATTTTCTTTTGCAACAAAGTAAGAAAATAAATAATAACAATTATTATGATTACAAATAATCTTTTTCACAACAACATTTTGTTGTTACAAGTAACAAACAAATATTTAGCAACAAATTTATTAACTGTATGAACAATTAACACTGTTGTTTCTTATTTTTAACATCCATGTCAAGAAATTTAATAACAATTACTATTAATGAATTTAAAATTGGATAACATTTCGTAGCTAAAAAAAGAAAAGAATTCATTTAAAAAAATTAACATTAACATATTTTTTTAATTATACCGTCATATACAATACATTTTTTTCTAAAATATATTACAAACAACTAAAATGCAAAAATGAGTAAAGAATATCTTAAAATATATTATAATAATTAAAATTTCTAAATAAATAAAAATATTTTAAATGTAATCTAAAATTTAAAACTTACAACTCCATATAAAAACGATTTAAAATGTAATCTAAAGTTTAACTGATGATGTAGCAAGTTCAAGTATTACGGACTTAAAGGAGGAGTCCTAAATCCCACATCGAATATAAAAAGAGGGTCACTGAGGTATAAAAGGGTTCATACCATCTCTTCTTTATGAGACACTTTTTGTAAGATAAACTTTGAGGTCAAAGGAGTCAAAGCGGACAATACCTCACAAGGGTGTGAACTGTAGCAGATAGACTGATATGGGACGCCAGATGAGTGGATGATCGAGTTTCGAAATCGCACAGATTCAAAACTTAAGTCTCGACCCGTGATACATATACTTGCTCATTAGGATGGGGGTGAAAAATCTTTAACTGTAGCAGATAGACTGATATGGGACGCTAGATGAGTGGATGATCGAGTTTCGAAATCGCACAGATTCGAAACTTAAGTTTCGACCCGTGATACATATACTTGCTCATTGGGATGGGGGTGAAAAATCTTTATAAAACCGTAGTTGGAATTCCAATGCATTCATAGTATGCAGTACAAACAACTTCAAAGCTAATAAAAACATGAATATTCCATTTTTAAATTTTATATACGAAGATTCTGTACTTTCAATGAATCAATTCCGCAATACATTTTTAAATAAGCATATAAAATCCATATTTTATATATGAAGATTCTAGAAAGCTCTAAGTTCAAATATAATTTCAGATCAACACTGCCAGCATGCTAGTGTCAAAATGTTAGCTGCTAGGTTAAATTTTAACTTAATATCCCATGGTGAAAGGTATCAAATTATTTATTTTTTGAAATGATCAGTGATATGACACGTTTGCATTTATATCAAGTATTATTATTATTATTATTATTATTATTATTATTATTATTATTGGTAAAAAAATTTAAATTGCATTAGAAATTGATTCTAGATGTCAACAATTAACTTAGATTTAGACCTGGAACATGTCTTATAATTTGATAAAGATGATGGTGTAGTTCATGATCGATGTTTGTAAAGTTGTTGGCTTAACCATAAAGCAGACGTTAATTAGAATCTTAAAAGTAATATTTTAAAATTAAGAACAACGTACCAAAAATTAGAGAAGACTATAAAAGAGAATTAGAATCACAATCATAATTATAAGTAATTCAAGAAAGAAAAGAGAGGTTAGCACGTAGGCTCATTTTTATTCATGAGTATGTATTAAATTAGTTTTCAACCAAATATTAATTTAGTTAAAAAAAACAAAATATATATTCTCTTTAATTAGTATTAAATTAGTACAATCAACTAAAAATTTTTAAGGTACAAATGTTTTGATGTTCATTTAAGTTTTTGTAATTTGAAATAAAATAATATTGCAATTATAAGAATTGAACAAATATAATATAGAAGAAAAAGATAAAAATATTTTAAAATTTTGTTACAAATTTAAGAAGATTTTGCAAGGACAAATTTTTTTTTTTTACTTCTAAGAAATTGGTAGAGATTTCATAGCAATAATTTTAATTGTTGTGTAAATATTTAAAAATTTAATTTAGCAAAAAGTAAAAAAATCATTGCAAATCCAATAATGTTTCAAAACTTTTTTTTTTTGTTATTATGAATATGGTATGGATCATAATTTTTTTGTTGTTATATAAAATATTTAAAAAATTAATCAGGCAACAAGAATAGTCATTGCAAACATTATAGGATTTCATAACTATTCTTTTATTTTTTCTAATTTTATAAAAATTCGTAATAGTGTAAAATATAAAAAATTTAAATAAACAGTTATAAAAAATCGTTGCAAATATAATAAGATTTTGCAACAATATTTTCAATTGCTGCAAATTATGTTTGCTAAAACTTAATTTTTTTAGTAGTCATATTTTGCAATATTATTAAAAATAACTAAAAATTGTTGCTAAATATAACTTTTCTTGTAGTGAAGGTAAGAAATAACTTGATTCATATGGGCTTGTAATGATTGAGAGATAAAATTCACTTCAATAGTTAGAGTAGAGTTGGAGATTTTTTTAACAATTTCAAACTTAAAATCTTAAAAAATAAAATGTGAAACCTAGAAATTGAAAATAAAAAACATTATCATTTGGACATATAGCTTAAATGCAATGTGTACTCTCAAACATATGAAAAAAAATGTAGTTAGTCAATATAGCGAGCTAATTAATCACGTGTGTTATGCACACTGGCGTGGTAGTTCAATTCGAGTCACTACCAAAAAGTGAAAGCAAAAATATTATAATTGTTGGTATGTTATGGTGCATTTTTGCCTAACTTCCTAACCATTTCCATTGCACAAAGGGAAAAGAAAAGAAATGTTTTACATTTGCATACGACAACATGCATGCTTTTGACCGACCATTTTTAGGTTTTAACTGGTTTAAAAAAAGACCCATTACCTTAGACTTGAGAGATTGTTGCCATGCAACTTAGAAACCGAAAAAGAAAAGGAAAAAAAAAAAACAATAAAAATGGAGAAAAAGTTTGCCAACGCATTGAAATGGTTTTTTTTTTTTTTTTTTTTTATGGCTATGGTCCCATTTTGGATGCCTTCTATTGCATTGTGGGTGTCGGAAACGACTGAACCTTATACAAGTAGTTCAATCAATGAAAAGATATTTACAATCCGACCGTAATCTCCCTCATTACTCATCCAAAAATACCCAAAGACAACTCATTTTTTGATCAATATATGTATAGCTATATTGATATATTGATGTATTAATCTTTGTTCCCATTTTAAACATGTGTTGGAAAAAGGAATAGACATGGAATTTAGCCCATAAGGACAAAGGGACATATCTTCATCACGTGCTTTTAGTTGACTCTATAGCTATAGTTTTGAGCTTCATCTTCCCTTATAAAAAGGTCTTTTCTTACAACATGAACGCACAAAAACAATCTCAAAAGGCCAAAAAACAAAAAAAATGGGGGCTAAGAGTACTTTGAAGAAGCCTAAAATCATACTGGTCCCATTTCCAGCACAAGGCCATGTGACTCCCATGCTTAATCTAGGGTTAGCTTTCGTTAGCCATGGGTTCGAACCCATCATTGTAACCCCAGAGTTCATTCATCATCGGCTCGTAGCAAACATGGACCCCAACCATGAAGTAAGGTTCATGTCAATACCAGATGGCTTAGACGAAGAGGGTCCTCATGATTTCTTCGCCATAGAGAAAGCCATGGAGAATATCATGCCAATGCATTTGGAGAGTCTCATTCGTAAAATTGATGAAGAAGAAAAAGAAGAAGAAGAAAATGGGAGAGTGGTTTGTATGGTTATTGATTTATTAGCTTCATGGGCCATTGAAGTTGCCAACCGATGTCCGATCCCTGTTGCTGGGTTCTGGCCAGCTATGGAAGCCACTTACCGGTTGATCACTGCCATACCGGACATGGTCCACTCCGACCTGATTTCTGAAACAGGTAAATTTGTCAACAACACAAATTTTTTATACATACTACATATAGATATATTTGTTTTCCTTTTCGATATAACATTTTAAAGTATTATTAAATAACATTTTGGGTCAACTATATATTAAGAATTGTATGGCTTATTCTTAAAAGAGGAATTATATTGTATATAACGTTTAATATTCCATGCTTTGTTTTTTTTTTAATCAAAAGTAATGCCATTCATTAGGTAAAATATCATCAACATTTTTTATAGAATTTAAATCGTCATTTGAGATAAAAAAAAGATTATAAATATTAAGATTTAAATTTTAAATTTATTGAATGTAAATTCAACTGCATAAATTAATCAAATTAAGTCTATATTCAAGTAAACATGCTTGTTACCTTGTAAATATTATTTGATTTTATATAAAAAAAGTTTTTTTTATATTATATATAAATAAAGTTTTATATTGTTTGAGATAAGACAAAATGAATAATAAGAGCCTAAAATCTTTAACGGCTATATAAATTTTTATAATAGATGCAAAGAAAAAGAAGCAAGATTTTATTATAGTAGGAAATATAAAATTACATTAGGATTTTTTTTTCTATAATATATAACATGAGTATAAATCTTAAGTGGAATTCCTAACATGCATGGAATTTTTCAGAATATGTAATAAAATTTGTCACGCATAAAAGTATTTAACTATACATTTGATTTAATTTAAAAAAAAAAAAAACACTATACCTTTGATTTTCTTTAACTCTTAATGTTGTTTTTTAAAAAATAATAAATAAAAAAACTAATTTTTACGCATGGCTTAATTGAATTATAGGAAGGTTTAACAAACATTTCAAATTAGGAACATTTACCGAAATTTTACTCATAAATTAAAAATTTTTACTTATAGAGATCTATTAGATTTTTTTTTTTAAATGAAAGATCTATTAGATTTTTTCCACAAAAAAAAAAATCTCATTTCTATCCACCATTTTCAAGATTATTTAAAAATTCTCTTGTGATCCCATCAATAAAGATTTGCCCTCCGCTTGGGGTTTAGTGAGAACATCTTCCAAATATAATTTCAATTTTATTTTGTTATGTTGGAATAGTTGTGTTATGTACCCATATAGCAAGTCTTCCTTTTTTTTTTTTTGGTAAATAAAAAATTTTTTTATTTATAAAAAAAATTAAAAATAAAGTCTTAAATTTGAATTGATAAAACGTCTTTCTTAAACTTACAAATAAATTAATTGTTTAACTTACGAATTATTTGTAATTAAATTAAATAGAAAGTTTTTTATATAAATTTATCTACTTTTAAATTTATTATAAAATCCATTCATTTACCTAAAAACATATATGAATTTTTTTTTTATAATGCTTTGGTGTTATTGGTTTTAAATGAGAGTAATTTTGTAATAACAACAACATCAATTATTATTATTATTATTATTATTATTATTATTATTATCCAACTCAAACGAAAAAAAAAAAAAAACGTTTAACAAATATAGTGGTTGAACATATGATTAGTTGATGGCGACCGACCAAATACGATTGGCCGGCGGTTAGCTCCTGATACCATTGGCTTATTGCACATGGGAAACGTTTTTCGGTGCCGCGAAAATTGCCGGAATCAATTTTACATGTTCCAACGGCTATACTGGAAATAATACATTTCTATGATCATCAAATTAAAAAAGAAAAAAAAAAAACAACAAAGAAATAAATGCCGTTGACCCAAATACAATATCTAAAAAGTAATCTACTAGAGAAAGAATCCTCAGTGAAAATTTTCATTAATTTATTTAATGATCAATAATGTACAATTCATAGTTGATATTTGTTTAAATTATTTTTATTTTTTAATTAATTTTTATATTTAATTTAAAATTATTAAATTTCAATCATAAATTTAGTTGAATATGCATTATTAACCATTAAATAAATTAGTGTAAACTTTTATTACTTTTTAAGTAATGGAGAAGATTTTTTTCCTATCGAAAAAGGATTATCTCCGTTACTTAAAAAATAATGAAAGTTTTTACTAATTTATCTAATGACCAATAATGTACACTAATCTAAATTTATAGTTGATATTTGTTTAAATTATTTTTACTTTTTAAATTAATTTTTATTTATTTTTATATTTAATTTAAAATCATTAAATTTCAACAATAATTTTAGTTGAATATGCATTATTAACCATTAAATAAATTAGTGCAAACTTCCACTAGGAGAAGATCTTTTTTCCTACAGAGAAAGGATCCTCTCCGTTACTTAAAAAGTAGTGGAAGTTTCCACTAATTTATCTAGTAACCAATAATGTACATTAATCTAAATCCATAGTTGATATTTGTATAAATTATTTTAAAATTTTTAATTAATTTTTATTTACTTTTATATTCAATTTAAAATCATTAAATTTCAATCATAAATTTAGCTGAATATATATTATTAATCATTATATAAATTAATGCAAAGTTCCTAAAGAGATCTTTTTCCTTATCTACTATGCATATCATTAAAATATTTTGATTTATTTATTGTATGAATTATTAGTCACATGAGAATTAATTTTCTAAGTTGGGATACTCTCTATGATTTTTTTGTTTATTATTTTTAATGTGTTTATCATGGAATTATTTTTTGTACATAAAAAGTTGTAATCTAGATTGAGGAAAAAGTTGTAGGTGTTAAGATTTTTTTTTTCTTTGAATTCTTATAGATGTTAATATTTGAATATCAAATTTATTGATATCATTTCTTAAAAGTGATTGTATAAATCAATTAAATTAAATTTTAAATTCATAGAATTATTTTTAATATATTTATCATCATTGCTTATATGTTTAGGTTTACTCAACCATAAATATTAGTGACATCTATTGACTATACATGTAAATAATGATAATGAGTGTATTGAAAAGTAATTAATCAACCATAAATATTTATTTATAATTTTGCAGGATGTCCCCAACGTCAAGGTACTGTAGTCTCCCTACCGAGTCAGCCTTTGCTATCAACCGAAGATCTTCCATGGTTAATTGGAACCCAAGCTTCAAGAAAAGCAAGATTCAAATTCTGGATCAGAACCTTAGAACGTTCAAGAACCCTTCGATGGCTCCTGGTAAACTCCTTTTCCCAGGAGTTCATTGATGATGATGATGATCCAGATGAGAATCCAATTGTTTTTCCAGTTGCACCTTTGAGTAGACCTTCATTGATGGTGAAGAATCCTAGCTTTTGGGAAGTAGATATTAGCTGCTTGGATTGGTTGGACAAGCAAAAGCCAAACTCAGTGCTCTATATTTCATTTGGGAGTTGGGTTAGTCCCATTGGAGACTCCAAAATGAACAGTCTGGCATTGACACTGGAGGCCTTAAGGAGACCATTTATTTGGGTTCTAGCCGACGTATGGCGACAAGGTTTACCAAATGGGTATTTAGAGAGAGTTTCAAAGCAAGGAAAAGTGGTTTCATGGGCGCCACAGTTGCAAGTGCTGCAACACAAGGCCGTTGGGTTCTATCTCACACACTGTGGATGGAATTCCACCATGGAAGCCATACAATGTCAGAAACGACTCTTATGCTATCCGGTTGCCGGAGATCAATTTATCAATTGTAAATACATTGTTGAAGTTTGGAAAATTGGAGTGAAAATTTTTGGATTAGGCCAAAAGGATGTTGAAGAAGCTCTAGAAAAGGTGACAGAGGATGATGAAATGAAAGAAAGATTAATGAGGCTGTACCAGAGGACCATGGGAGAAGAGGCTGGTTCCAGAGTTGTGGCTAATCTGAAGGCTTTTCTTTTGGACTCAACCAAAGATTTTAAACATTTTAATTTGTAATTTTTGTTAATAGATACACTAAAATAAAAGTGAGATAATTATGCACAATTTAACCACCAAACTTGGTTCAAAATGTGCATTTAAATTATAGCTTTTTATTTAACCGAGTTTAAATTAAAAAAACAGCTTCTTTCCAATGTTCAATACGTTCGTTTAAATTAGAAGTTTTTCTTTATATAAGTCCAAATTAAAATATTTATTCCCAAGCATTCAAGGGTTTTTTTTTTAATTTTTATTTTATTTCAAGTTGTTAAATTTCTTTTTTAATTTCTAATATACTCTTAAACACTATACCTTATTACTTATCTAATTGAAAAAGATATTACCCTTTACCTTACTACTTAATTGGAAAAATACCTTACTATTTACCTAATTGAAAAAAATATTACCCTATACCTTACTATTTACTATATTAAATGCATAAGTTTTTTCCAATATATAATCTTCAAAATCTAACTTCATAACATATTAATTGATTCAAAGATTAGTCATCAAAGCTGTTAATTAAAATTTTAAATTCTGCCAACAGATTACATAACTATTAATGCATCCAGGACAGATGATCAATATACATATTCCCTTACTGGAAAAAGGAAGCTTGAATTCATCGTTCCCCCAATAAAACAAATTATTCCCAAAATAAGATACTTTTAAACTTATTCCTGCAACAAAAGAGTTTCATGCCCTTTCATGCCAACTGAGTGGCATTTTTTTTTTTTAAAGCAAAAAGAATTATTATTGATGAGAAAAATACGAAGGATCGTCCATCCCCGGGGCATAACACAAGCTAAAACCTAACAAAAACCACAAGAAATCAGCCAAAACAGTAGAAAAACCATATAGCAGAACTTGAAGCTTTGATGCGGCCAAATAACATCATACATGCAGTGGCCATTGAGGAGAGAATAACCCATCACTTGCCAGAGGAAAAACACGACCCATAATAGTAATCAATATAACAGCAATCTTCAAACTCAAAATAAATACACATAATACATATACATATATCCGTGTGTGTACATACATATACATACATACATGTATATATATATACATGTATATATATATATACATGTATATATATTTGCTTGGAATCAGTCCATTAGCTGTGTGATACGAAAGTAACAAAACATACAAAATCAAGTTTATGAGGTAATTTTAAGGGCAAATGGTCTACCGTCACATGGAGAAAAATTCTTACCCTTTGTCTCTTGGACTCGCGATATTTTGTGAGTTTGGTTCACCTTTCCTCTAGGAGCTTTATCTTGGCCTTCAAGCTTCTAATTTCTTCCTTCTCTCCAACCTCTTTCCGCACACTTACCACCAGGTTTTTAAGCCGTGAAATCTCAAGACCTGCAAGCTCCAAATCTTCAATACCCTCCTCCATAAGCTTGATTTCCTCTGGGGTGCGCTTCTCTAGTTCTGTTGTTGCCATTTCGTAAACTTCAGCGTACGTGTTCATGAAACCATTTCTGGATGCTGGGTGGCGAAATCGAAGGCCTGATGCATTGCTAAATATCTCTTGGATCATGGTGAAATTGTCCTTTAGAACCCCGAAGCCATTTACATTCATGGTCTCCCGCAATGGTGATAGTTTGGCTTTGGCAATGCTAGTCCCCTCACCAAAAGAACCTTCCGTAATTCCCAACAACCACCAAATTAAAATATAGTAGAAGCCATATGGTTAACGCAAAAAACTATCTTGTCAAAAAACAGTTCATATCACCCATAATTATTTTCAATGTACCATTAAATACAATATCAATTGACAGTTATATATAACAACAACAAACTACAACAAATTAAAGCTTATATCCCGTAACTTTGGGGCCGGCAGTGTGAAAGGCCAAAAAAAAAATCATATTAGATTATAGTTTTGAATCTTCTTACGCCATTCATTTATATTAAAAGCAACATTTTTATCTACTTTCTTAATTCTCAAATTATCTCTTATTACTTACATTTGCATCTTTTGTGGTCTACCTCTAAAAGCTTTGGTCTCTCTCAAATCCATATGCTCATTTATCCTAATTGATGCACAAATAGGCCTATGTTTTACATGTCCAAACTATCTCAAACAATCTTCTCTCATCTTTTCCTCAATCGTATTACCCCTAATTTTTCTCAAATCTTTTCATTTTTATTTTGTCTTCTAGTTTTACCACACATCTATCTAAGCATCTTCATTTCCGCTATGCTCATTTTTTTATGTTATTTCTTAACAGCCTAACACTTAGTCCAATATAACAATTCAAGTCTTGCAATTGTTTTATACAACTTCACCTTTAACTTGAAAGGTATGTTGCGATCACACAACACACTCGATACATTTCACCACCTCATCTATCTTACTTGAATTCTATGATTTACATCATTTTCTATCTCAACATTACTTTGAATAATTGATCCCAAATATTGAAAATGATTACTCTTTGGTACTACATCGCCATCCACCTTAATCACATTAGCACTCGCTTCCCTATGACTACTAAACTTATATTTCATATATTTAATTTTAGATTTACTCAATTTAAAGCCTTAAGACTCTAGCGTATGCCTCCATAATTCTAATTTCGCATTAAGATCATTACTAGTTTCAGTAACTAAAAGTATATAGTCGACAAATAACATACATCACGGCACCTTATCTTGGATATGTCCAGTGAGCTCATCCATAACTAATACAAAAAAAAAATGGACTGAGTGCTAAACTTGAGCCTTGATGCAATCCTGAAGCAATAGGAAAGCTATCATTCAAGCCCCCAAACGTTCTCACATTAGTTACAACTCCTTCATACATATTTTTAATTATGTTAATGTACTTTAAAAGAACTCTTTTCTTCTTTAATACCCACCAAAGCACCTTTTAAGGAATTCTATCATATGCTTTCTCCAAATCGATGAATACGATATGTATATATATATATATATATATTTCTTCTGAAAACTCTCAAATAAAAGCCTTAATAGGTTAATTGCCTCTATTGTGAAATATCTTGGAATAAGCCCAAATTGGTTTTCGAAAATAGTGACCTCATGTCGCAACCTACATTCAGTTACTCTCTCCTAAAATTTTCGTATTATGACTCATAAGCTTTATTCCTCGATAGTTCAAACAATGTTGTGTATCACCTTTATTCTTGTCTAATGATATTAGAGTACTTTTTTTTTTCATTTTTCTGGCATTTTTTGAGTGTTCTAAATTTTGTTGAAAAGATCTGTCAATCATTCTATCCCTATTTCACCCAAGTATTTCCAAACCTCAATCAGGATTTCATTTGGTCCTACAGCTTTCTTTACTTTCATCTTTCAAAGCCTCTTTAACCTTATACCTTTTAATATTACGTTTAAACATATGATTTATATCCTTTAAATGTATGTTAAGCTCACCTATATCATACTCGAAATTGCCATCAGAGAAATTATCAAAATAATCTCTCCATCACTTTTTAATTTTCTCATCCTTCACTAAAACTCTTTTGTTACTGTCTTTAATGCATCTTACGCTAGTAAGATCCATAATCTTCTTATCCCTTATCTTAGCAATTCTGAACTCTTTTTCTCCATCTCTTATCTCTAGTTTTTTATATAATTTCTCATGGATCCTAGTCTTTGAATCTAGAATAACCTTTTTGGCTTTTTTATTTTATTATCTTATACTTCAGATAACTCACCTCGTGTCGATTGCTCTTTAAATTCTTATTACATTTCTACTTAGCTTTAATTATCATTTTCACATCCTCATTTCACCACCAAGATTCCTTTCCTAATGGTGCATGACCCTTAGATTCGCCAAGTATCTTTTTAGCAACTATTTGAATTCTAGTGGAAAATTTTTCCACATTATTTCTACATCCTCATTAGGTTTCTAATTAACCTTTTTTACCAGTCTATCCCTAAAAGTTAACATTTTATCTCCTTTCAAGTTCCACCACTTAATATGTGATTCATGACTCTAATGTATCCTCTTTAACACCCAAAGGTTAAAAATATCTAAAACTAGTAATCTATGTTGTGTTATCAAACTCTTACTTGGTATAACCTTGTAATCCTTGTAGCCAATCCCAAACCCATATAAATCTATGTTGTGTTGTCAAACTCTTACTTGGTATAACCTTTCAATCCTTCAGCCGGTCTCAAATTCGGATAAAGCGATGAGCATTGCTATAGGATGATAATCAGTGTAAAACATAGTCAAACCATGATGAGAGATCCACTTGACAATTATATGCTTTTTTTTTTAATTGATAGTTATATACACTTGAAAACATTAGAGAACATTTTCTATGCCTTAACCTTTATACTTTTTTTTTTCTAAATTGGGGATAATTTATTGAATTTAAAGTTGTTGTAACGATTTTGAAGGGAATTTAAAAATAAAAAAGAATTGCCACTAATTTTTTTTGTCAAGACGTGATTGACCACCTATTAAAATTTATTATTTTAATAAAATTTTAAAATTAATTAAAACTTTATCAAAAAGATAATTTTTTAAGTCTGCAAAAATAATTTGTATTCAGGAGTTGATTACGCATGAAGAAGGATTAACACTTCCACAACGCTTGTTTAAAATGGTACCAATTAATTATGTGTTTTCCTTTAATTTTAACTAAAATAGTCTTAGTTTTGGTATTTAAAATTTCATTTTCTTCATTTTCTTCATTGTAAAAAAATATATTTTTACTTTTAATTGTTTGCTTGATAAATAAATAAGAACCATTCATATTGAAAAATCTTTAAAAATATTCCAATATTCTAACAATATTAAGAGAGACTTTCTCACATAAAGAATTCATAAGAATCATTACTCGAATTTCTTAAAAATCTTATCCTCGTCAACTCATATTTATCGTCAACATTTATATTTGATACACATATTATAAAATACAAAAAAAACCAAATAATATTTTCTAAAAATTCATTCATTTTTTTAAAATACTAAAACAAAAGATCGTTATTTAGAATTATTCTAAATGTTTCAATATATTAACGGTATTTTA